TTTTTTTATTTCTTTTTACATCTATATTTCAGTCGCGTTTGAATCTTTTTAAATTCTTTTCTGCGGCTAATTGCCCAAGAAGTTATCTTGTTTTGAACTTTTTTGTTTTTTATATTTTAGTAAATTGTAAAAAATTTTACTGGATTACAGAAGCAGTTAAGAACTATTATCTAAAGGGGTTTTAAGGATTTGAGTTTTACTTGGCATTTTTAATATCCGTTTATTTAGATCAAAAGGGTGACTACTATAGGGCAGATTTTGGACGGTGCAACTTCTGGAATTAAGGACTGTACTTGGGAAAGGTGCTCTTTAAGAAAAAAAAAGAACTGCTTTACAGTACTTTTGAAATGAAAAGCCTTATGAACATCAAAACCTTTTACAGGTATCGAAATATAGTTTATTGTAAAACAAGTTTTTACACAACATGTGCGCCTGTTTACCTCGCATTGTTGCTCGCTGACCAGAGAAAATACTGGACAGAGCTAGAACCATTATGTGTCAACCTAGGGTATCTTTTTCAAGCACAGGTGAATATTGATTTTGTTCAGTATTATGGTGATAGTTATATTTTCCACATGTTTAGCTCTAAAGTATAAAGTGAGTGCAGCAGGTTTAGGACGATTTTCTGGATTGTTACGGTCACGTTGAAGATACTGGCAAAACCGGAACAGATCTGAAGGAAGGCAAATGTACTTGGATAACTTGTAAAGCGGTTGAAAAATTAGAATCTCCAGAATTTAGTAGCTACTCTACAGTATTTGAAGTAAATTTTTTATTTACTTTTTAGAAAGATAAACTCAGTAACTTCATCTTTTGTTATGGTAAAGTAAGCAAATAAATATATTAATACAAGTAAAATTTTTGCTCACATATTGCTTCTTTTCATAAATGGGCATGTGGTGTGACCATCCTAGAACTGTTTTTTTCTTACTTAGCCTGCGCACTTTTTGTCGTAATGATTAAAGCAATTTTTTTAAGAAAAATAAACTTTAGCATCTGTGCACTTTTTTTAGGATTTTTGATACTGTTCTTGCTGTGCTTTAGGAGGCAAAAAAGAGGGTTAGTTTAACTAGTTCAAAAAACGTTTCTTCTCAAAAAAATATCAATAGGTCGTCAGTTATTGAGTTATTGTTTGGGAACAAGGAGGCTAAAGGGAATAGTTTCAAACAGAATTTTCAAGACTGAAACTTTATTGCTTCTTCAGAG